TGTTCTTGGCATAGTAAATTTAAAAAGTTCTAGCGGACTAACTACTAAAATTCTCAAGGAAACTAAGTTCCTGCAGCTGGCTGTATACCATGTATGACAAAAAAATTATTTACAAATTCTTTTATTAAAGGTATATATATATATATATATATATATATATATATATATATATATATATATATATATATATATATATATATAAATGAAACTTAATCTTTGCAGATAAGTTAAATAGTAAACTCCTAAATATTGAGGAAATCTGCAAGAAAGACTCTAATGAGTATCAATTGTTTCGCCAAACATTTTCGTTAAAGAGAATTAATTTGGCTTCTTCGGGGCTAAAAGAGAAGAAATTATAACTAGCTCTTCTTCTTCTTCGCGTGCCATATCAGAATTATCCGACGTTAACGATCACCATTGCGCAGGCTTCTCGATCTTCTGCAATATGGAATAATTGTCCTGAATTTAATATCTGAGTTCATTTACGAATGTTTTTAAACAAGAAACTTGTTTTCTTCCTACACTTCTACGGCCCTCTATTTTGCCTTTAAGGATCAGTTGTAATATTTTATATCGACTTTCCCTTACTATATGTCCCAGATATGACATTTTTCGATGTTTAACAGTCTTCAGCAGTTCTCTATCTTTGTTGACGCTCCTTAGTACTTCTTCATTAGTTTTCCTTGCCGCCCAAGGTATCTTCAGCACTCGTCTATGAATCCACATTTCCAATTCTTCAATTTTGTTTATGATCGATACTTTTGGCGTCCAAATTTTTGCACTATACAAAAATACGGACCAAACATAGCACTTAACCATTATTTGCCTTAGTTCTAAACTGAGAAGGTTATTGCAAAGAAATGACTTCATTTTCATAAAAATAGTTATTACTTCTCTACGTTTTATTTCTGTGTCTGGATCTAGTTGGTCCGTTATCACAGTTCGCAAATATGTCATTTTGTGAACTTTCTCAACTTGGACTCCGTTGAATTAAAGCTTTGCATCGGGATATGGGTCACAACTAAACACTAAAAATTTCTTTTTGTTTGAGTTTATTTTAATGCTTATTTCCTCTCCTACCTCGTGAATATAATCAAGCAGAATTTAAAGACCTTCAATATTATCTGATAGATTTACTGTATCATCTGCATATCTAATCACAATAAATAGTTTTTCATTGATTTTTATTCCATATGGTTGTCTCTCAAGTGCCTTTTTAAATAACTGGTCCGAGTAAACATTGAACAATGTTAGCGACAAAATGCAACCTTGTCTGACTCCTCGTTGTATGGGGATTTCATCGGTGTAGTTATCTCCAATTTTTACGATAGTAGTTTGATTCCAGCACAAGTTGTTAATGGCACCTATATTCTTGTCATCTATTCCGATATTTTTCAATATTTGCATTAATTTTACATGCTGCTTTTTATCGAATGACTTGTCGAAGTCCACGAAACATGCAAATACATCTTTTTTTTGGTCATGGCATTTTTGTAATAGGATGTTAAGCGCAAAAAGTGCCTCCCTAGTTTCATAGCATTTCTAAAATCAAATTGGGTATCTTCAAGATCTTCTTCGCATTTGCGTCTAATTCTGTTGTGAAGTATTCTGAGGAAAATTTTAAGAGTGTGGCTCGTTAGGCTAATTCTGAGCATTTTCTTAAATTGTGTTTTTAGGTATTGCGACAAAAATAGATTTGAGCCAATCTGCAGGAATCGCTCCGGTGTTATATATTGAATTAAAAAGTCTTACTACTTTTATGTTATCATTCTCTATTAGTTTCAGCAACTCAGTTGGTGTATCATCTAGACCACAAGCTTTTCTAATTTTAGCATTATTTATAGCGTGTTCTACCTCGCATTTCATAATTTCTATGCCGTCAGTACAGTTTTGGTAGAATTCGGTAATATTATTCCTGTCATCTTCAAGCAACTCTGATATATACAGCTGCCATTCTTTTCTTATTTCGTGCTCATTTACAATAGTTCTGTTATTATTGTCAACGAGTACAGAGGGAACTCGTTTTTTAAATATGTTACTCTATGTTTATAACTAGCTACCATATTTTATCCATTTTAAAAAACACTGGAGATCTTACCGTCCCTTAGAATTGTAGGGTTAGGATGTAAAAAAACTTAACTAGTAACAATATAGTGGTTTTTTTATTACTATGTGAAAAAAGTTACCGTTGGAAATGTTTGGTAACTTTGAACTTGAAACGTAAAGTTGTACTCAAGGCTAATCAAAAAACCCAATGTAACTGCATTTAAAAGGAATTATTTCTTTGAGTTGTCGGCAATAACTAAATTTTTGATTATTGAAAAGTTTAAATGTGAGGTTCTGTTTTACCAGAATCTTAGGCCTGACTGAAGATGCTTTGCATATTATAGAAAGCAAAACCGGTCGTCTAGATAGGTTAATTAAACTGATTGTGAGTAAGTCTTATTTGTTATTTCTTTTACCTATTTGAAATGGACTCACACAAGCAACACATTCATGATTATCCTAATCATTAAAATTTGAATAGAGTAATAGCAATGACGAGTAAGGCATGTTAAAGACAAGTTCTTGAACAACTTAAACTTGCTATTAAATCTTGTTAAAAAATAATAATCTTTAAATTAAATCTTTAAAAATAATGGATGCTTAAAACATATTCTCGAAAAACTGATATTTAACTTATTTAACATTTTTGAAGGTCCTACTTATATCAGAATAGTATAAACAATTCAATATATAAAACTGCCATTGATAAAGCATTTAACCACTTCTGTGACTAGATTATTTAAACAATTTACCAATATTACAATTTTTAAATATAATCTATTAGAAAATGAACAACTATTTTCAAAAGTAAAAGACAATAAATATTCCAACTATAGCATTTTTCATATAAAAATGCTTGCACGTCACAATGTATATAAAGTAACGTCACTTATATTTAAAATTTCCAGAACGTCAACCTTAGTGAGAGCGCCCACCAAAGTGGCGTGGCACATGGCACGTAGCAAGTAGCACGCGTCTAGCATGTTACTTTAAATGTAACCAATGAAAACGAATGATTCAGCGCACACCAAAATTACAGTGACGTCATTCGATCTAATAATTCGTTTGCATTGGTTATATTTTATGTAACATGCTAGACGCGTGCTACTTGCTACGTGCCACGTGCCACGCCACTTTGGTGGGCGCTCTCCCTTAGAGTTCAAATTTTCCTAATACAGCTAATAATACGAAACCCATACCGAATTGCTCGATCTTTTATAGGCGTCAGCATGGTGTAATAATCAGAAAAATGTTATCATCACTATATTGGAAATTTTAGAATTATATTGATTAAATAACGAAAAACATTTGATATTATTAATAATACAAATTTTATGAAATAACTCTTCAAGTCTAATATTCCATAAAATAATAATTTTAATTAAATAGATTACTTCATAGTAATATATAATACTGAATAGAAATACTTCAAATTTTATTGACACTGCAGCGTGTGACAAAAGTGTATAAAGTGTTGCCGCTTTTTTAGAGTAAGAATTTTGTTTATGTTTTAATTTCTTACACAATTTAATCATAATATATTATATATTAATAAATTGTATTTATAAATAATTATTAAATTTAGATTATTAGCTTTCAAGACTAATTATTGTTGTGTATTGTAATTGTGCTATGTCAAAACAAATAAATAGTCTGTAGAAAGCTGATAAGCTTTCATATAAGATAGATTATTTTGAACAAGAGATAATGGCTGGACGTTTATACTATTAAAGCCCTAAAAGAGGTAAGTTTAAAATTTAAAATATATAATTTTGTATTAAAATGTTTTCTTATGTATTTTAGTGTTTTGTAGTATTCTTAAAACTAAATGTATTTACAGTTAATATAATAGTTTGACAAATAGTTGACATTTTAAAAAATCCTTACTTACTAACTATTCTGATGTTTTGGCAACGCTGTGGAGTTCTAAAGTTGTAAATCTTGAATGACGTGCAAGCATTTTTATATGAAAAACGCTATATTTATAAAACTAAAACTAAATCCAACTATTTATAAAACTATGCAATTACAAGATGCCTTATGCGGATTGTCTGAGTTGTTATATCGGTCACTTCACTTCACAATGACTCTAACAGAGAATAAACCAACACAAAGGTGACTATACAAAAAGAAAAATACGTGTGCTGCAGTTGCCATCATTTAAAAACTGAGCACCATTTTGACTACTCAAATGTCAGGGTTTTAAGGCAAAACAGTAGTTACAAAAAAAATTGTTTTTGAAAATGTGTTACATCAGTAAACAAAAAGAGGCAATAAGTTATAAGGTAGATATAAGATAGTTAAGCAATATCTACTGAAATATTTTCAATAGTTTCAATTAATTTTACGCTGTACAAACAATAAAACCATTTTAACCATATGTACCTACTTCTTTAACATGTATAAAACTGAACACTGACTACTTCTCTTGAAGTAGTCAGTTTTATACATGATAAAAAAACACAGACGGTTAAAATGTTTTTATTGTTTTTACAGTATGAGTTTTTTCTGTTTTGCAATCAACTTTGTGATCCGTTATTCTTTGGTTAAAATAAATTTTAAAGATAAGTTGGGTGGATAATGTTACGAACAATGACGTTTTAAAAATAATGAATAAGGAAAAGAAGATATTAAAATAGGAAAATTGCGGTATATGGATCATGAGAGGTGAGAGATATGCTTTGCTGTATATTTTGGCTAAACAATTTAAGATGATAGCACAATTGTAACTCAGTTCAGCTGTTTAGAACAGCAATATTAAGTAAAGATATCCGTAATAATAGCCAACCTTACGACTATAACACACACTTTACTGTTGTCGGGGGAAGGTGGCATTTAACATAATCAACAGCAAAATTAAAGTATTTCGCAATTTTTATCAGCCTAAATTGGAAACATATTTTTTACGTTTTACGTTTTTTGCACAATAGTCATATTTTCCATAATTTTTCAGATTTGTCGAGGAGCTTAACGATTGCTTACGCTGGTGTTTTTTCATAGATTTTACTGTAAAATCGTACAATTTCAGCCAGTTTCTTTATGCTCTTCTAAAAGTAAGTATATTTTATATTGTGTAAGAGTAACAATTTTTAAACTGCCTCTAGAAAATCTAGGCCTGATAATAAATATGGAAAAACCAAAGGGATTGTATCACCACCCTACAAAAGTGTCATAAATACTGTTTATACCTATACTGTCATATCGTTAGTGTTTTTGCAAAATTATATTAATATATTATTGAAGTTTTGAGAAAAATGGAGATTAAGGTAGCGATACTTTTCAAACTTAAATTTAACAAATTATGTTAATTGCCGAAATTTTAATTTCTGGGGATTGATTGTTATTTATAGAACATCTCCAATTGCCAACTTTATTTGTTTGATGTAACAATGGTTTTCGAAAATAAATACACTTATGTCCAGTGACAACAAATTAAATCTACTTATCGCTTTATCTACCTAAGTATAAATAGAAATAACCGGAAACCTAAGTTTAACTCTACTGTTATAAAAATAAAAACCAATTTTATTAATATAAATCTAATTTTATTTATATTAACCTGCACTACTACATAAAAATATATCCTAACCTACATATTACTAAAAGTTCGCAAAAAAAGATAAAAGTTCTTATTACAAACTGCTAATATGCATCCATTAACGTTAATGCCATAGGTTAACCTATGGTAGGTAGGTATTAACGTTAATGGCAACAAGTTAAACCACCTCAGACTCGCTGACGACATAGTGATTATAGCGAGCACATTCGAGGAACTGCAAATTATGTTGGGGGAACTAGCAGTAAGCTCCCAATACATCGGCCTAAAAATGAATATGAAAAAAACAAAAATAATGACAAACACAGAAGACCCCAGACATATAACTATAAACGGCAGTGAGGTAGAACAAATCCAGGAATATATCTACCTAGGCCAAATCCTGAGACTTGACAAAGAGAACCAAAGTGCGGAAATTACTAGAAGAGCAAGACTATCATGGGCAGGATTTGGAAAACTGAGTTGGATACTTAAGAACTGCAAAATACCCCAATACTTGAGGAGCAAAGTCTTCAACCAATGCATCCTTCCTATCATAATAATAATAATAATAATAATAATAATATGGAATCCTTTTGATACCGTAGGGAGTGTGAGCCGTATGGCTAAACCATAATAATAATAAACGTATATAAATGAACATCTATATAAGGTCATACAGAAAGCTGTGCTACTTTCGACGTCCAGATGCGTGCGAACATTTTTAGGAGATACACCGACGTACCAAATCACCTAGGACTCGATAACATGGAAAGAGTCCCACCAGAGCTCAATCCTTTTGATACCGTAGGTATCTGGGATGAGTGAATTTTCCCCTTAGCGGGACTGTGAGCCGTATGGCTAAATCTGGAGAATAATAATAATGGCTGGTAAATATATTAAGAATATATAAAGTCGATGATAATATAGTGACCTTCTTAAGACATATAATGACAGATTGGAAGACTAAAATTCACCTTCAAATACCTGGTGAAAACAATATCGAAACGGAAAATATCGCAATTAACCGCGGCCTTTTCCAAGGCGACTCGCTAAGTCCCTTGTGGTTCTCTCTAACGATGAACCCACTATCCCAGCTATTGAACTCCATTGACTCAGGTTTTAGCATTAAAAACAACAACAGTGTAGTGGCGAAGCTTAATCATCTGTTGTATATGGATGATTTAAAACTAATGGCTTCCACTCGAACTCACTTAAATCAAATGCTAAAAACTGTAGAAATATTTTCAAATGATATCAGTATGCACTTTGAGTTAGACAAATGTCGTGTACTAAATATAGTCAAGAGAAAGGTTCAGCACGGAGGATTCGATATGCAAAATGGCCAAAACATCGAGGCTATGGGCGAAAATGACATGTATAAATATCTAGGAGTAAAGCAAGCGCGGAAAATTGACCATAAACAAATGAAAATCGAATTAACATTAGAGTTCATACGAAGGGTAAAACTGCCTCCGCTCACATCTTAATAGTAAAAATTTGTTTAAGGCATTAAACACCTACGCATTTTCCGCGCTTAGCTACTCATTTGGCACTATTAAGTAGACTTAAACGGATATAGAAAGTCTTCAGAGAAAAGTACGAACACACCTCACAAAGGCACAAAAACACCATCCTCGAAGTGCAGTAGAAAGAACGACATTACCACGGTATTTAGGAGGGCGAGGACATATTGATATAAGCGAGCAATTAGATAAACAGATTAATAATTTAAGAACTTATTTTCAGGTACAGGTGGAGACATCTACTCTTCATCGCGCGATTTGCGCAGTAGATGACACAACACCGATCAACCTGAGGGAACAAGAAATGCGCATAAACCATCTTACTAAGAACGAAAAAATTCGCATCTGGATGGGTAAACCTCTGCACGGGCGACATCCGAATGACGTCAGTCAAGACTATGTCGACAATATAGCGTCGAACTATTGGCTGACATCAGGAAAGATGTTCCCTGAAACAGAAGGTTCATTACTCGCCATTCAGGATCAGGTTATACCAACCAAAAATTACCTGAAATATATTGTCAAATACCCTCAGGTCCAAAACGACAAATGCCGATATGGATGTCAAGCCCAAGAAACGATCCAACATCTTACCGGAGGCTGCCAGGCATTTGCTGCAACTGAATATAAGGAACGGCATGACTCAGTAGGGAAGATTCTCCATCAAGAGATAGCTATTAAACTGGGACTTCTACAAACAGACCATCTCCCATATTATCAATACGTTCCAGTGAGTATGCTTGAGAATGACAACTACAAGCTATACTGGGATCGTACTGTGCTCACAGACCAAACTGTAGCACATAATAGACCAGATCTCGTGCTAGTTAATAAACTAACAAGACAAACAACTATAATCGATGTGACGATACCTAACAATAATAATCTGCGTGTTAAGTACAACGAAAAGATCGCCAAGTACAGAGATCTGGAAATAGAAATAAGAAGACAATGGAGAATGGAAAGTACCCAGACGATACCTATTATTCTTTCTACCACTGGAGCCATTCCGAAGAACCTCATCATCATCATCATCTTTGGCTCGACAATCCTCTGTGGATCTTGGCCTGCTCTAAGATTCGTCGCCATTCTGTTCGGTTTTTGGCAACATGTTGCCATCTTCTAACTTTTAATATTCGTAAGTCGGGAGATACAAAATTAGTAACAAACGAAAATCCGACAATATGCTTTTTGAAAATTCTGAGAAGGCGTTCTATCGGAAACTCAATTCTACTGCAGAAAGTGTCAATAAATCTTACCCAAGCCGAGAAGAAATCCATGAGTTTTGGGGAAGTCAACTTTCCACACCAGCTGGTCTTAACACCAATGCTGGATGGATCGAAGATACGGCGCATAACTGCCAACATTATGTTACTGCTCCCTACGAACCTTTAACTACTGAAGAAGTTTCAAATATTATCAAAGAGCTTCATAACTGGAACTCTCCTGGACCAGATGGCGTACAGAACTTCTGGCTTAAGAGGTTATGGAGTATTCATGAGTACTTATCAGCAATAATTAATCACACTATTTCTAATCCGCAGGAAATACCATCTTTCCTAAACCAGGGAACAACTTATTTAATTCCCAAAGATCAGAATAACACCCAAGATGCAACCAAGTACCGCCCAATTACTTGTCTTCCAACTCTGTATAAATTGGTCACATCCTGTGTAGCCCGACGTATCAACCAACACTGTGCTCTGAATAATATCATAGATTCTCAACAGAAAGGATGCGCTAAGGGTTCCATGGGCTGCAAAGAACAACTTATCATCGACTCTGTCATTTCAAACCAAACGTATAGCAAAAAAACGGAATCTCTTTACTGCTTTTATCGACTACAAGAAAGCGTTTGATTCAGTGCCGCATGAATGGCTTATAGATATATTAAAAATATATAAAGTCGATGATAACATAGTGATCTTTTTAAAACATGTAATGACAAATTGGAAGACAAAAATTCACCTTCAAATATCAGGTGAAAACAATATCGAAACTGAAAATATTGCAATCAACCGGGGCCTTTTCCAGGGGGATTTGTTAAGTCCTCTCTGGTTCTGTTTAGCGAAAAACCCACTATCTCAGCTACTGAACTCCACTGACTCAGGTTTTAGTATCAAAAATAACAATACTGTTGTGGCGAAGCTTAATCATTTGTTGTATATGGATGATTTAAAATTAAATGCTTCCACTCGAAACCACTTAGACCAGATGCTAAAAACTGTTTAAAATTTCTCAAATGATATTAGTATGCACTTCGGTCTTAACTAGTGCCGTGTCTTAAACATAATCAAAGGAAAGGTTCAGCCCGGCGGATTCGATATGCAAAACGGCCAGAACATCGAGGCTATGGGTGAAAATGATATGTATAAATACCTCGGAATAAAGCAAGCGCGGAAGATTGACCATAAGCAAATAAAAACTGAGATATCTACTGAGTTTATACGAAGGGTAAAACAGCTGCTTCGTTCACACCTTAACAGTAAAAATTTGTTTAAGGCACAAAATGCAACGCATGTTAAGCGCTTAGCTACTCAGTTGGTATTGTTAAGTGGACAAAAACAGAGATAGAAAATTTTCAGCTAAAATACGAACACACCTCACAAAGGCACAAAAACACCATCCTCGAAGTGCAGTAGAAAGAACGACATTACCGCGGTATTTAGGAGATCGAGGACTTATGGATATAAGCGAGCAATTAGAAAAACAGATTACTAATTTAAAAACTTATTTTCAGGTGCAGGCAGAGACATCTACACTTCATTGCGCGATTTGTGCAGTAGATGACACAACACCGATTAAACTGAGGGAACCAGAAATGCGCATAAACCACCTTACTAAGGACGAAAAAATGCGCACCTGGATGGGCAAACCTCTGCACGGGCGACATCCCAATGAGGTCAGTCAAGACCATATCGACAATATAGCGTCGAACTATTGGCTGACATTAGGAAAGGTGTTCCCCGAAACAGAAGATTCTCTACTGGCC